TAGCCTTAACAAGTGCCAATTTATTCACTGTTAAAGGATCAAGTTTTTCATTTTCATTAGAAATCATTGCTAACCAGGATAATCTGTCATCTATCATTGTAGATTGCAGATAATTTAAATTTTAGTTTGCATCCATAAATTTCATTCCACTGGGATAGCTATGAAAATTGATTATTAATTGAAGGCAAAGCCTAGTTAGCAAGTGAGATAAAGAAGTCCCACTCCAAAAAAATTTTTTTCTTCAGATCTTAGAAATTTATCACAAGACTAATAATCAAATAAACGTTTTTTGCAATCTGCTTGTAATTCAAACTTACAATTTTCTTCTACAATTTCACACACTGTTGACATAGTAGAGATAACTATTTTCAAGTCTTGAAGAAAGCTGCAAGTTGTGTAAATCTCAGCAATCCTAATGGCAATTGCAACATCAAAAGACTGAAACAATTGACTCACTTTGTTCAATGGAAATAAAATAGGGGGGAATAAATAAAACCTTTTTCATTCTCAAGTAAATTTGAATGAACTCCTTTTAAATAAGGGAGTTTTATTCTAAGGTGTATCTTCAAGCATGGATGTCTTAAACATTTTCAAATATATACAATAGTTATGACAATATATGCCTACAATATTTTTGATAATCTGATTTGATCAATAAACATTTTATTTTTTAAAAATCAAACCTGAATAACCATTCAAAAAATTAATTGTAAACCAGAAATTGTATTTATTCCACTGGGTCAATGTTCACGTTCCAAAATTGAATTCTACATTTGTATTGTCATTTTGCCTTCTGTATACAAGTTACACAAAAAGTTTCTTTTTGTAATTTTCAAACATCTTAGGATTTAATTATATCTGTTGTGTTAAAATTGTCTAAAATTTTGTGACATTCTTTTAAATTGTGTAATATTTTCTTTTTTGACATAAAGTACCAACTCAAATAAAGTGGTTTTTGGTGTTAAAATTGTGAATTTTAATGTGTTGTCATCGCACAATGAACCAACACACCATTTACATTACAACTGAAAAACAGAAAAGAATGTTCTATTTAGAAGAGTGGTCAATATTTTTTTGACATTCTTCATTTTTGCTTTGGCCATTCGCAGTTCTGTATTCTTGTTTACTCTTTTGTTTCTTAACTTCAAGTTTCATCATTTTGTTCCCATTCTCATTACACTATTTTTCTCTATGATCTTCTTGTAGTATTGTTTCCATTTCTTCAGAACTTTTTATGATTAAATATAACTAGCTAAATGCTTGTTGCAGGCCCGGTAGGGTGCAGTGCTGGTTTATTACAAAGTGGCCTTGTGCCAGACACCACACTAAACTACCGAGTCCACAAGCAATGTATAAAAAAAAATAAAAATGCGTGAATGAACAGTGAAGGAATGTGGTTAGTCCACACGTGCATAAATTAAAAACATTAATAAGATAGCCTGCACATTTCAAGTCAGTCAAGAATGTTAGCCTGATGTTATAGAATGCGAAGGCAAAGGCCAGAATGGTCAGCAACTGGCTGGAGTGCCTTATAAGCAGGGCATTCTGAAAGTGATGAATTGCTTTTGTTTGAGTTTTGAATTGAACAGAGGGTCTCAAGAATTCTGAAGCACTGATATGCCTTCCAAACCCAGGTTTGTGACTGGCTAATATCAGCTGTGGAGGGATGCTGAGCCAACATGCAACATGCATTCCTGTGATGTCAGACCTCCTATTTCCTCTTAGAATCCAAGCTGCCACTCTTAATAAAACAAATACCAAAATGTAACAGCCACATGTGCAGCTTTGAACAATTGCATTTTGTGTTCCTGCAACAGGTGTCAAAGAATGACATGCCACTAGAATAAGTTACACAAAATGGCCCAACTCAAGAAATTGACATTAAGGTGTAAACACCCCCTCCAGATTCTACTGGGTGTTGGTAAACCATATGTCTGAATGTTGGTAAACCATATGTCTGAATGTATGTTTTGTTTTGTTATATAATATTTCTTTTGACTCTTGTATATGGTGCTGGTTCAGGAGGCATAGTGAGAGATGGTCGAATAAGCTACAAGTCACACTTGGTAATGATTTAAAATACATACTACTATGGATTTTGAAAAAGAAAAAGGGGAGGTAATATTACAGAATGCAAAGGCCAGGACCAAAAGTGCTTTGTGGGTGGGGCACTCTAACAGTGATGGATTGTCTTTGTTTGGTTTTCGAATATAAGTCCAAAATGATGGAAACTGAATGGAGGGTCTCAACAGGAATGTTGAGCCAACATGTGACATGCATTCCTGTAATGTCAGTCCACTTACTGCTTCTTAGAATTGAAGCCACCACTCTTAATAAAATGAATACCAAAATTAAATGACCCTTTTTCATTGATAAAGTTTTATGAGTAGCATAGAGATCCCTAAATGACACAGAATGCAACACTGGGAAGGCACAACAAGTCACTCTCCTGGAGGTTAGCATCAGTCATGCAAGACAGAAAGGGGTCTATCTGATGATTAATAGAGAGCAGTTTAGTTTTGGAGGTGGTAAAATTAACAAACCATTCTTTTCCCCAGTTAACAACAGACTGTCATCAGCAGCCAATTTGACCTTATTGAACCGATCAGACTTACTGTTGAGACAGGAGTAAATGGTTGTGTCATACCAAGTTGAGAGTTGATGTCATCAGAAAGGTCATTAATGAAAATTAAAAACAAAGTAGGACCAAGGAGGACAACTGCATTATTATGAAAGGATCTGGAAAGTGGCCATTAGGATAACTTTCATTTCATGATGTGATAAGAAAGACTGGATTAGTTCAAAAATTTGACTGGAGACACTGTAACTTTTCAATTTGTGAAGAAGACCTGTAAGCCAAACCCTGTAGCTTTGGATTTCTCGAAAGCTTTCAAGATTACAGCCTGAGATTCCCCATTCTTATCTAGAGCATGACTTTCCACAATTATTGTCAGCACATCAGCAGTTGACCTGGAGAAATGAAAGGCATATTGCTTGTCTGAAATATGACTCTACAATGAGATGCTTAACCAATTCAGGATTAATTAGGGCCTCTAGTAGATTCCCTAAAAGAGGTAGATGACTAAAAGATCAATAGTTGGAAGGGTTGGACAGTTCACTGGAGTTCTTAAAAACTGGAACAACAGATGAGGATTTCCAACGGGCAGGAAAGCAAAAGGCAGTGGGGCATTTATTATGATGGGCGCCAGTTCGGAAGCACTCTTCTTAAGGATTATTAGAGATACCATCAGGTGCACATGTTTTGTGGGGATCCTGATTAGAGATGATAGCAGAAACCATAGAAGGGGTTATATGTATATCACTTAACAGAGACTCAGTTCTAAAGGCAAAGTTAGGAAAGGATACTCCAGATGAGTCAAGAGTAGAGTTTAAGGAGAATTTACTGGTAAAACATTCAGCTTTATCAGTAGATGTTAACACCTCAAATTGATTGAAGAGAGGCAGAATAAAATATTTGCCTTTATGTTTGTGTATATTTTCTCAAAATTATATATTTTGACAGAAAAAGACAAATACTTCACGTCTATCTTAGACAGAGCAAAAATATTGTAGCTGCAAAACAGAGACTTTTATATTTAAGTCATATAAACTTTATATAAGGTCTATAAAAATTTTAATTAAAGAAATTACTTGCTAAGCCTTGTGTATGTAGTATGTATGTGTGTGTATGCGCATGCATGTGTGTGTATGCACATGCATGTGTGTGCACGTATAAATCCATTTAACAGACTAAAACACAATATGAAAATGGTATTTTTATATTAAAAATGGATAAAAACTGCAGCTCTATAATTAGTTGAACTATTCTAATTCTTTAAAAAAATATAAATTTATATGAATGAAAATATCCAATTCTCAGAAAAATACTTATTATGAAAGATTAATATGCATATATGAATACTAGCCGAATTACCTGCGTCTTTCTGCATGTCACACATTTTTTTGTAATAAAATGATGATTGATTTTAAATCATTGTTATAATTTGTGGAGAAAAATGATGCATTTCAATATTACTTGATGATCTTACTGATGTGACTTTCATCTTCTGGCTTTCTCATTTTATATTTTAGATAGGAGTCATTCCTTTGTTCAAATTTAAATTTAATTTAAATCAAAGGGCAAAAAATTTTCAGTAGGGGGTTTGTGAAAAAACAGCTTGATCTGATACATTTTATATGTACTTGATGCAATATTTGATTGAATGAATTGATAAACAGATTTCTCTATTGATATGACAGTTGAATTGTTGCAACAAATATGTATTGTAAGGTACTACCCACTGATTTCTACCAGTGATTTCTTGCTCAACTTGATGTCCATATTGTTTTATTTTGATCTTGCTGATGTGACCTCCATCTTCTGGCTTTCTCCTTCTATATTTTGGATTTCCTGTTGTTCAAATTTAAATTTAATTTAAATCAAAGTTGAAAAAAATCAGTAAGTGATCAAAATGAAATATACTTATCCAAGTACCCTAGGAGTCATTCTCTTGTTCAAATTTAAATTTAATTTAAATGAAAGGGGAAAAAAATGTTGTGGGGTTTGTGAATCGAAACCTTATCATAGTCTCCAAAACCCTAGGAGGTGTTCCATAACAGACAGACAGAAGCTACAAATAGAGTTTTATTTTAAATTCTTTTCACTTGAATACTGTGATAATCTTCGTCTTGCACAAGGCTGTTGTGTGGTATCCAGTGAGGATCGGGCCCACTGTAATTGTCTGGAAAAGCCAGTTTGACAGCCAGCATCTAATCATACAAAAGTAAATTAAATATGAATAAACTAGCACGAACAGCAGCATTTTTATTACACGACTGGGTCACTCTACCAACCAAGCAAGTATTACGGATCCGGAAATGCGTTTTTCCTAGAGTTTCACTTCCTGCCACGTTGGTGGCCATATTGGTTGGCTTTGGTCGACAGTCGTGTTACGTGAATCGCATTTGGACCTTTTTCTAGTGCTAACCATAGGCTAACCATGGGGGGCTCCTACAGTACAGAGGTGCCTGGCGGAGGAACAGAAGGATATCACGTTTTGAGGGTAGGATTTTATGTCAACTATCCTCTACTTTTGATTTTAGAGTTTTTCTATTTTTGTTGGATGATGACGTACTTTCTGGAGGACCGGTGTCAACTGAAATAAAAATTCAGGCTTTTATTTATTTATTTATTTATTTTTAAATAGAGATCAAATTTAGAGGGTTAGGAATAGGATCTGTCTGATCCTTCCTAGCCTTAAATTTTCTGCCATTGGATTGTTTTCATCCTTGTAGGAGCCGAGCCTTAATTTCAAAATCGTGTTCTATCTGAAAGTTTTGAGAGTCCAAGCAAGCGAGAAGTGTGGATCTTCGTATTGTAAAAAATATTTTTAACGTAGTTAATAAAGTTATCTAATGTGATCCTATTTCTATTTTTCCAAAGCTCAAAGATTTCTCAAATGTCTCTCTCGTCTGCACAATCACAATTTGAAATTTAGGCGTGAATATTTTGTTTTTCTTCTTCCTGACACGGCTTATGAAACATGAACAATAAAATAAAATCATGAAATGATAAAGTTTTATTTAATTTATTTTTCATCTCATCTTAAAAAAGTGTTAGGTGTTTTTAATGTTGAGATTTAAAATATTTTAGAAAACTATTTTACGATGTTTAATTGATCCACTAATTCTACTGATAATCATTTTTAATTTAATTTTTTTCATGTCCCAACAAAAAATGCACATTTGTTGCTATATGAATTTTGATATCTAATTCACATCTTTTCCAATGTTTGCGGGTGGGGAATGAAAAAGAAAAATGGATTTCAGAAAAAAAAAAGGCAAGTTTCAAAACATTTATTTCACTAGCTTTTCCTATGAAAACAATCGCTTTTTTGTTGTTAATGTTAGGATTTTGTTCATAATCTCATAAAAAAGTTAATCGTGAGGTTTGTGCAATTTTTAATTTATTTTAGTAGAAATTAAAAAAATATAATGAATACTGAAAAAAAATTCATACAGGGAAAATGTCAGTAAGTGTGGTTATTGTAGTCGTCAGCTGTTATTTATTCATTTGCTGTTTTTTTACTTAAACTTTACTAATTTTAACCTACGCTAAATCCCAATAAATATTTTGAATAAAGTGTGATTTTTTTTTTTTTTTGGTAGGGTAGGAATGGTTACTTTCGTCGTGTAATTGATTTTTCTCGATTTAAACCTCATTAATTTATTATTTTACAAGCTGTTAAGAAACGACAATTTTCCTGCATGATCTCTCGCTCTTCCTTTCATCAGAATTAAATTCTTATTCTTTTAAAGTGAAATTAGTTTAGGAATGGCAAAATTGTCAAAAATACATGTTGAGTTAACCGTCAATTTCGTGTACTGTTATTTAACTGCTAAACTGCTGTAGGTAACATTTCTCGGTCATAGTTTATCTGTTGTGATCACTTCCTGATCAGTGTTATGTCCCCATCTCCGATTTGTCAGTTTCATAATTGAAAGATGTTCATTTTCTTCATTAACAATATTTTTAATTCGTGTTTGTTTATCGGGTACCTTTGTTATATCTTTTATCATGAATAAAGCTAAAGTATTAAAATCTCTAATGAATTTTTACCGCTTGATAATTTAAAGTCCAATCAGCTGTTTTTTAATTGCACACCTCCTCCCATCCCCTCTCCAAAAAAATTAAAAATTAAGTTTTTTTTTTCATAAGAAATAAATCTCCGTTCTTAAAAAAAAGTATACTTTTTAATTTTTTTTTCAAACTCAAGTTACTACTTATCGCAGACTTGTGCAAAGTGACCAATTTTTTTGAGATTTCATATACGTCTCTATGAAATCACAAAATTAAAAACCTGTCCTGTATCGAGAATTAGAGCTTTGACTTTATCTCTGCTAGATAAAATCCAAATTCTGTATTTTCAACCAATTGAGTTACAAGATTTTTTTTTTCTTAAAAAGTCTTGAAATATTATTTGCCAGTTTTAATTTTTAGTTTGCTTTCTTTAAAAAGAAAAAAAGAATCAAATTTCAAAAGTACTGTTTTAAGATGAAAAAAAATCGAGAAAATCCAGTTCCTTCTTTGTTATTTTTTTTTATTGTATCATTGATCTTTCTTTATTACTAGATCTTGCGTAAAGTATTATTTTTCAGAAAAAATTTTTCTTGATGATTTTTTTCATTAAAAAAAAAAAGAAGCGATTGAAATGTTTTTATTTGTTGATTTTTTTTCAAAGAATTGTGTGTGTGTGTGTATTCAATTTAAGAATTGGATCTTTTGCGATTTAGTATTCTACTGATTCTTTTCTAAAGAGTTAACTCCATAAAGCAAATCCGTAAATTTATTAAATTGTTTCATCCCCAAAAAGTCTGTTAGTGTTACTGTTAACTTTTTTAATCAGACTTTTTTAAAGACTTAACCAATGTTTACCAAGAAAGACAATCATTGACACGTAAGACGAAACACGTTGCTTCTTCCGGTACAGAAATTCTCAAAAGGGCGACGCTAACATTTGCTGTAGTAGTGTTGCTCTGATAGGCCACACAAATCTGTCCATTTTTTTTTTTTTTTTTGTCAATTTCTGTCGGATAATCCTTACGAATATAATTCATCCTAGTCTATTTTTCACTTTTATTTGTTTATTTTGTTCTCTCCCTTAGGGGCTCATGTCTAGCTCAGCGCAAAGAGCGCTCCAGCCTACTCATTTTCTTTTTGGTGTGGAAGTTATTACGAATTGAATTCAGGTATGGACATAGAAACCAGCCAAAAACGAAACTCCTATTTTACAAAACGTTACAATTGATCTTGAAATGTACTGTCTTTAATATATTTTTTTTTTTTTTTTTGAAATAGCGAATAAAACGTTTTAAAACGAGTTTCGCAAAAAAGTTATTTTAAAAATGTGTTTCGCAAATTGAAAATATTTTTGTTTTTAAATAAAAATCAATATTTTTTTCGACTTGTTCCCTGTTGAATTTTCTTAAAGCGTCAACTTCAATCAATTGGAAGAACTAAGTATTAAAAAAATAAAGGATGCATGAAGAACAACAATCTGTAAAAATCTTTCACCAAATTTTACTACAAATAAAACTAGGAAAAACGGATTCTAGAACATTTTATTACGTACTCAATAATGGATGAATAGAAAAAAAATCTTGAAATGCGGATGAGTAAAGAATTGGCAATGAAAAGAATAAATAAATTGATTTAATAAATTTATTGAAAAGAAAAAATAAATTGATTTAATTCAATTGAGAAACTAAAGTTTCTCAATTGAATTAAAAAATCAATTTCTAATGAATAATAAGTTGGATCGTTGAAAATGAACTAATTTTTTTAAGTTTTAACTTTTTGTAGCTACACCTCCACAGAAACGCGATACCGACGGTTTAAAAATTGACTTATGATCCCGTTTTTTTTTTTTTTCTTTTTTCTTTTTCACAAAAAATGATCCAGCTGAACCTCACATCGTCAGTTTTCCTTTGAGGTCCATTTGTTGGTAAACCACAAGAAATAAGCATTAAAACACCTGCTTCTAATGTCAATTGTCAACCTTATAATTTTTTCTTATGATTGTTTAAATTTATAGCATTTTTTAAAACAATGTGAATCAATGCCGTTTTTTCCCTCTTAAGACAATGTCACTAAAATGAAAGGGGCTAATGGGAGTGGAAGAGAAAAATAATTTAGAAGGAACTGGAAACCCAATCCTAAACAGGGAGCAAGGGATAAACCTCTAGTCTTGTTCAAAATACCACGGAGGAGTGTGAGCCGGATGATATATGAACCTATCTACTCCTATTGAGAGAGAAAGAGAAAAAACAAAACAAGCCGAGATGTTGCATTTAAGAAAATAGGGATAAAGAATAGGAAAAATAAAATAGATAAAATAAATGCTTCTATCTGGACAAATATTTTTTTTAAATTAATCAACAATTAAAAAGTATAATTGAGTACAATTACAACAAGAACAGGAAGGGATAATAACATCACAATACTATTAAAACAAAATAATAATAATACACAGTGGTAGGAAGTCTGAATACTACAATTATTAAGCACAATAATAATAATAATAGTGATAAAATGGAGTCTCATAGCAAGTACTAATTAAAATCGGAGTAATTGGTTAAGTGTGGGATTAGCTTCAAATGCATATGTTAGGGTAGTTAGAGAATTGATAGTGTGATATTATCTATTAAGTTTTAACTTAGTATAGGTTCAAACATCGCTATTAAAATAAAATTGAGCAGGGAATTAACATTACTTGTTTTTTTTTTTTTTTTTTTGTTTAAATGTTCAAGAAATATAGTGAGATATATGTACAAATATATTCCCTATGCAACAAAAGCCAAATTGAAAATAGTTGTCAAGTTTTTACTCAGAATATTGAGAAATCTAGATTTTTATTATGTATTATTTATTTATAATATTTGTAAACTTAGTGAAAAATCTATGCAAATTTTAATTCTCAACATAATCATTCTTTTTTAAATATATTAATATATTAAAAATGTTTTTTATTTAAATACTAAAATTTAATGTTAATGTTTAAAAATAAAAACTGTTAAAATATAAACAAAATTGAATTTGCAAAATTTGAATTAACATAATTCATTTTTTTTAATTGGTTCCCCAACCTTTATTCTAAGTTTAAATTTTATTGAGATTAGAATATACTTAATTTATTATATTAAGTTTTTGTTAGATTGACATGAAATTTTGACAAACTATGTCCCGCATGCTTTATATTTCTGTGCCCAAGATTTAAAATTTTGCCAGTAATTAAAACCAAGTAAAAATTGAAGGAAGGCTACTCTACTAAAAGACACAACTATTTCTTGGCATGGAGGACCTTTCTCTTCAAGGTCAAAGCCCTATTTTAACTTGCAGGATTTTGATAGCAGAAAGAAAAACACTGTCCGCTAGACTTATAGAGGTAGGGGGTTGTAGTGTATTTGGCACTGAGAAATATGGTAGGTGGGTTAGTTGGTAGTTTCTTTGCCAAGCTTTTGATATGAATTCAACTTCTCTCTTTGTGAGAGAGATTTAATAAGTAATTAAATTTCATGCAGAAACTTGTTTTAATAGATTATTTTTTATAAGTCAATAAATTAAGTGGATGTAACTGTGTTGAAGTTTGGGTTACCAGTGTGAAAGTACTTTATTAATTGTTATGTAGTTGCTGAAAAGATGACATTAAAACTAAGTTTGTTACTGATAATTATAAATGCATTGAGAATAGGATGTGTGTGTTTAGGTGGGTTGATTTAACAACCAATATGGAATTCATGAAAAGGATTATGAAAGAATTCTAGTAAAGAAAAATGTTTCAGGCACTTAGGAACCTTTTTTTATATTCATAGATGGGATACTGGAGTGAGTACAGTGAAAATTGATTAGAATCCTCCCACCACACACACACACACACACATCAAGTTCTGATTGATCAAAGTGATTCCATACTAGGATCTACTTTAAGTAATACAACCTTTCTCTTTCTCTCTCTATTGGAGAGGATCAATATTTAGTCTCAACTCTAGGGGAGAAGTCCATGACAGAAGTGTAAGTATATATCACAATTCAGTATATTTATCTCCCCTCCTTCTCATGTATATCTCCTCAGACTGATATTATCAAGAAGTTACATCTTTAATAAATTGACCCTGGTGAAATTTGAACCTAAGTTTCACGACTGGAATGCTGATGATCTAGCCACTGAAACTATTAATTGTGAGTTTTTTTCTTAAAATCATTACAAATATATGCATAACTAAAAAAATCAAGCATGTGATATGACTTGTCTGTGATTTGATAGAATCAATCATCAGATGCTGAAAATGAAGTCAATTTCATTTTCCTACACCTATCTGAATCTTTAAGAAGTGATTACCTGCATCCTTCCTCTCATTTGGAGTGGATTGAAGAAATCACCACCCATGAAACAAATACATGAATCTATTTTTTTCCTAAATTTTCCTCTGCCTCCTTGTGATAAGTTTAGTGATGTTTTTCTTTTTTATCCTCTCCCATATGGAGATAACCTTAAATCACCAGATTAAGTTGCTCTGTCGACATAACAAATTGGCTTGTAAATTTGTCTACCAAGGTTTCTCTCTAAACAAGGCCCTGTTAATGGTTCAAAACTGAAAGGCACACTGACAATATTAATATTCTATATAAAGATTATAGATTTCCAACTGAAATCAAATATTCAGTTGTTCAGAAAATAATGCAGATTTGTAACCATTATTTTTAAAATGACAGATCTTACTTCAGAAGAATTTTTATTAATCAAAATCAGAACCATTAGATTTGCCAACAAGATACAAGTGTTGTCATTCCACTTGCATAGAAGTTTGGGAGGCCACAAAATCTTTGAAGGCATTTTAGACAGTAATTGAATTGTTGAGAACTTTTCATTGTAAGAAGTTATCCAACTGTTTGAAAAGGTGGTAATCAGTTGGTGAGAGCTCAGGTGAGTAAAGTGGATGAGGCAGAGTATTAGAGCCCAATTCATTCAATTTCTGTAACATTCCTTGTATAACATGTGGTCATTTGTCATGCGATCCATTTATCATCATGTCACAATGTGATTGAGAAATAAGTAATTTTTGTTGTGCAAAAGAACTGAACAGACTTCATAAGGACTATTATTTTGGTTTTCATTCAATTCATGTGGTATCCATTTGTTCAACATCTTAGACTTTCCAATTTTGTTTAAATGTTTAGAAATTGATCCAGTACTTGCACCTAGCTCTCTTCCAAGTTGTCACACAGTAGTGCGAGGATTTTTATCCACTAATGTTTTCAATTTCTCATCTTCAGTGGAAGGCCGATGTTCACAGCCTTTCTTATCTTCAATGCCATCTTCACTACAACAAAATTTCAGAAACTTTATTAATGTTTGAGCAGTCTGAGCTGCAATATGGCCAAGATTCTATTCATAAAAGTAAATTTGACAAAATTCTGTTTTTGACATCTCAGTTAAGAGGTCTGAAAAATATTTATGCAATAAGTGAAAAAATGGATCATTTAGACAAAAAGTACATTAAATACTCTTTAAAAAATCATTTTTTCTCTGCATGCTTTTTTACATTTAAAAAGTAGGTTAAAATATAAAATGACAAAACTTGCATTATTTTCTGAACAACCTAATATATACTCATGAAAATATACAATAACTATTAGATGACTGCTGTTGACTGTAATAGCAAATATGTATGTGAAGCATTTCAAAGAAATAATTATAAGAACAGCATTGCTTGATCAAACCATCGAACTTAGAAGCCTTGATGGTTCAATCACATTTTGGCCACACCAAGAAGATGTACAAATAATGTTAGACAATCAATCCTTTCATGGAGTTTAATATGAAAAATAAAGCAAATTTGCTTTTCTGGATATTTCTCTATTGATAAAATTTAGGCTTCTGTCTTGTGAGCAAGGGAATTGTATATGGAACATTCCGGGCAACTGTAGCAGAAAAGTGAAAGTAGCTGTCCCTTCATGACAGTATTTGAAAACAAGAAAGGGACCATAAAAATCAAATATAGCAAACCAGTAAAAAGATCTCTATTTTGGAATAGTCACTATAAAAGGTAAAGAATTTTGCTAGAAAATATAGAAACTAAAGAATCATAATATATGGAATTTTTTTCATACTATAAATCAAATAAATGGCAAGAAAATATTTACTATTAAAAAGAAAATTATGGAATCTTTTAGTAAGTATGAAGTAGTTTAAACCTAAGAGGTTTCAGAGTTGATGGATTTTCTATTTTGCTTGATATCTCTTTAGATAAAGTGAGCATAAAGCATCTTTTTTTTTCTAGATTTAGAATGTGTGTAATTTAATATCTTTAAAGATAATATGGGTAAACAGGATCTATTTGCTTGTGCTTGTTACATGTAAAAAAAAATATATTTTCTCTTTCCATGAAGTGAAAACATACACTTTTTTTATTCCCTTAATGAAGTAGAAGAATAATAATTAAGCATAAAAACATTTAAATGTAGACTTTGGCTTCTAATAAAATGTCTTTTGTTAGTCTACCTATGAAATTGATTGTAAAAAAACTAGTTTGTGAGCTTTTTATCTTAACATGCAAAAAAATGTTCATTATATATTCTGTGCTTAAAAGAAAAAAATGTTCTATTTTTTCCGATATTGTTTTAGAGGACATCAGCATTATAATTTTGGTATTCATCATTGTTATTGTTGTAAAAAGAGATTCACACACCTAATCAGACTTTGTTTTTTTGTTTTATGAACAGGTTCAAGATGGTTCTCCAGGCTTCAAAGCAGGATTGGAAGCATTTTTTGACTTTATTGTCGCTATTGACAGTACTAGGCTTGTGAGTTTTTCTCTTTTGTTTACTTCATTTGAGCTTAAAAATAAACTGTATTTAATTTATTTGACATGTATTTCAATTTATAACATTTCTCAAATGTAATTTGAGAGCTGTTACTACATTAAGGATTTGTATCAATTAAAGATGTTAAGGGATTAAGTCTATACATATAATACTGAATGTTAAGAAGAGTATCAACTAAAACAGATTACTTCTATAGCAGAGAATATAGATGAAGAGAGACCTACAATATTAAAAAGTTTTAGTATGTGTTTATCAAGAGATACTAAAGATGACAGAAAGGTTGACAATGCTAGAAATGGAATTGTTCCATTTCAAAGTTCAAATTTTAGTTGAGGTAACTTGTATTCCTTTTATGCTAAAACTCCTGGAAAAGGCATCAATCCACTTTTCCCAGAACTTTGTCCTATTGTTTGACAATAATATTTTGTTGACATACCATGCTGGTTGACAAAGTGAGTGGATATGCTCTTGGACAATCTATTCTATGTTTTATCTATCCAGGCTGCAACAGTAAAAAGCTGTTACGCCCTCATTGTCAACAGTGATAGGGATCAATAAAAGAGATGTAAAAAGAAACAAAAATTAAATGATAATAGGTAAAGATATATTTCTAAGTCAGCAGGGATAACTAAAGATCATCACACATTTGCAGTAGATATTAACAATTTGAGTCATACATTTTTATTTTCCACTAAGAGAAAAGTGTCCTGGGTATGACGATAAACTACATCCACGTCCTGGGTATGACAGTAAACTACATCCAGCAGCAAGGCTTCTGATAATACGTTTTTGAAAAAATAATGTTGCCAGCTATACGTTTTTTTTTGTTTTTTTTTTGAAAAAAATAATATTACCAGCTGTACGTTTTTTGAAAAAAATAATATTACCAGCTGTACGTTTTTGAAAAAATATTACCAGCTTTACATTTTTGAGGAAAAAAAATATTAACAGAAATAGATTTTTGACAAAACAAAAATATTACCAGGAAAAAAAAAAGAAAAGTTGTCGGCATTAGATGACCCATTGAGGTGCCATAAAACAAACCAAACTAAACCATTAAGAGTAAATGTTATCAATATTTAATTCTCAGATTATCAATATTTGTTTCTAGGACTGAGTATGTGTATTTTCTGAAATGTTAAGATTAATTTCAAGTTATTTTTTGTATTGTGACTATTTTTCAGTAAAGAATTTAAGAAAAGATAGGAAATAGTAAAATTTGAATGGTAATATATTGGGTTTATGCAAAAGTTTACAGAATTTTTTGACAAAATCTTAAAATTTATCATCATAAAAGTATTTTTCTTGGTTTTTCTATGAGCATAAATTGTTTTTTTTATAAAGAATAGTTTTGATTTGATGAATTCTTTGAGATTTGAATTTGTTGGAATCTCTGATTAATCAAGGAGTGTTATATGGAGCAAAATGATAGTGACAAAGGTGATAAGTTTGAAGATGATGTGCAAGAATTTCCTCTTCTCAGCCCCATATTTATTTGTTGTGTCATATTTGTCTCATTGTCATGCAGCAAAATCATTGACCTCCACAACTAGATAAGTGTTTTTTCTTTCAATGTGCCATTCAAACAAGCTAATTCTCCACTGTACTGGAAGGTTTTCTATAGATATCTTTCTTTGTTCTGCCCACAAAAGAATATTTGAGATATTTCTGAGTTTATATAAATTCATAAAAAAGAAAATCTTTTATAACCTGTCATAAAATATGATAAAAGTTCCAGTGAAATGTGTTTATAGAAAGGGAAATGATATTTTATTTGGAGATAATTAATTGTACTTTCAATTGCATTTTCTGCTAAATGATAGATGTTAGTATTTCTTTTCATAAAAAAAACTATACTCTGCAAAGGACCATAATATATATGAGATAGTGAAGGGTAAATTAAGAAAGTCTTCTAAATTTCAGTGTTGTAGGATATTTTCTGTTGTGCAAGGATTGGAATTAAGCTTAGTAAATGCTACAGTTCCAGAAAAATAGGTAAAATAAACTTGGTTGCCACTATTCATTGAAAGATTACCTATAATGGAAAGAGGAGGTGGTGTAAAATGGAAAAGAAATATTTTCTCTTAATTTTATTCAAACACTTGGCAATAAACTCAGTATATCCAACAAGGTCCCCCCACTCCTAAAAATGTTCTCACAATTATCCTGAAAAGCAACTCTGATATTGATGGCTCATGTGCCATTGATGAATGTGATGTTGTTGCAGGAAGACAAATTGTGAGACATTTTTGATTCAAGACTGCTCTGGGAACTGCATTTATATGAAATGTAACTGAGAACGATTAAAAGAATTATGTATTTAATCTGGGAAAATGTCTGCGTATACTTACCTCTTTAACGTTTATAGATTTTAAAAATCAGTTTACATTTGTTAATGAGTATAAGATAAGCAAGCATGCCTCTAAAGCTGTGTGGTTCTTGATATCCATTTGTTTCAAGTATCTAAATGGCTGTTAAAAGAGAATAGACTGTTAAGGGTGCAGTAAAGGATGAAGATAGTATTTAATTGAACAAGAATCTATTTTCATTTACAACATTTGTAATGATAAAAGAAATTTACCACTTTGGAGAAAGCAAGTAGTGTGCTATAGTTGTCAGACAATCAAAGCTTGGAGCCTAACTTAAGAGAGAGAATGATATTTTTAAAATCTGGATATTGAATATGTGTTGACAAAAACCTGATTGATTTGTAACTTGTTCCAATTGAAGTGAATTAAGCATAAGATGCTCAGAAGTGTTTGGTATGAGTTTTTTTTTGTTTTTAATGTAATATTCAATTACTACTCAACTTAATACATGGTCATTTTAAATTTTCAGAACCAGGATAATGACACACTGAAAGAGTTACTCAAGAACAATGTAGAGAAGCCTGTGAAAATGACTGTTTATAGTAGTAAGAGTCAATCTGTTCGTGAAGTGACCATTACACCAAGCCACAAATGGGGAGGGCAAGGCTTGCTTGGAGTCAGTATACGGTGAGGATAATTCTTTTAAAACCCTGTCCAATATTTTTATAAATGTCAGGATATTAATTTGCTTCAGTGACTTTTTTTTATTATATGTGGATGCAAAAATTTATCTGGATGTTTTCAAATTAATTTTTGAATTAAGGGTGAGAATTTGAGTAGTTGTATACAGAATTTACATTTTTCTGTTAACAAATCTATAAGGTGCCTGAAACTTGAACTCTATTATGGCTGTTTACAAAAACGTATACATGGAGGTGCTGAAGAGTTCTCAGCTCAACAAAGATGTCTTTCCAACAAAAAAATATCTGATGTTTGGTCATTTGTTCAGGTTTTGGGAGGTTGGTTAGGCCAAGAACTTTTCAGCATACTCTTCTTATATATAATTGACAAAAGTTATTTGCAAATAAGCTACAATTGTAAAGTAAATTTTTTTTTTTACTTATTAAAATTTAAGAATGATTTTGTTCTAAGCTACCAAAAGTAATTTTGGTTTTATTAGTATTTGTTAATTTAAACTTTTCTTTCAGATTCTGCTCATTTGAAGGTGCTAATGAAAATGTATGGCACATTCTGGTAAGTTTCATAGTTTATTTCTATGTAAATTAACTATTTTTGTCATTTGTGTATTGTTTGCTAAATATTTTGGTAATGTTTTTAACAACATTATTTCAGCCTGTCAGTTCTTCAGCTTTCTTCAAGTGTATATAACTGATACAAATTCTTGTTATATATAATCCTGTGGGTAAGGGAATGACAATGGAAAAAAAGCTTCATGAAATTTTCTTACATGAAAAAAATGTATTGAAAATAGTTTTAAGCTCATCTAATATCCTAATTATATATGAAATGAAAAGCTTAGAAAATCTGCAAAAACAAAAAAGTGAAACAAATAACCTTGATAAAATTAGGTATATAATACTACCTACCAAATTAGTGATGACTACAATTGAAAATAATTTATCTAAACTTAATATAAACTTTGTCACAAAAAAAAAAACAATGAGCAACAGTTCACAAGATAACATTAAACTCAAAGCAATAATTTGCCAAATGGACTGCAAAGATTTTCTCAAGAAATATGTAAGTGAAATATCTTAGAATTTATAAAGATCATAAGAATATAAAAGGTATTTTTTACAATATATATATATATATATATCTATATATATATATATATATATATGAGAGAGAATTAGGAAATCAGCTGAGATATATACATACATAGATATCATACAATAGGAATTAAGATTACATATAGGTGATGATCATTATCACCTTGTAAATTGAGATAATTTACAAGGATGATAAATTATTGAAATAAAAATGGACAAACAGAGGAAAAAAGAAAAGAAGGAATAAATAAAAAAATTGGAAGTAGTGTAAGTCTGGGTATGAGGGGTGGTCAGAGAAAATGACCTATTTATTTTAGACACTAGCAATCTGAAGGTAGTTTAGGCTTAAAGAAAAACTTAAATATTAACAAAATTAATATTATATTCATATTTTATATGAAAGAGATAATTTAGAATTAAAGATATATTAAAATAAACAATATATTAAAAAATTTTTTAAATATGTTGAAATGATTATATTTTTCTTAGGATGAAGTATCTCATTTAACATCTACATTTAAATCAACATATTTTAAATTAAACATTAAACAATACCCATCTACAAGGAAAGAAACAGTTAATATTTATCCTTTTATATATAATAAACCAATCAAGAGGAAGATTAAATAAAAGTAAAAATCTACATTTAAAATTAGAAAATAAAATGAATGAAGAAGTGCCTTTAGAATAAATTTTATAAGATGATACTATACAATAAATAATTAAATATATTAATTAATTAATAGTAAAAAAATTTAAATATATTAAGTATTACATAAAAAAACTTCTTAAATTGTTAATAAATAATGCATAAAAATATATAAACTCCTTAAATATTACACTAAAATAAATTTTCAAATACTACTTCATCATACCAAATAATACAATATATATCAGTATAGTACACTTCAATACCACATATCAATATTATATATTAATATATACACCACATAGTAATATATTAAATAAAACTATCATATTAATATATCTAAATACTTTATAACTAATCTTACCAATTAAAATAAGTATATAAAATTGAGCCTATATAAACATCATAATTATGTATTATTACATAACAATAAATCATTGTAAAAGTTATATTCTAGTATAGTATTATTACATAACATTGTTACAAATTATACTAATTATTATAAAATTATTATCACATATATTAACCCTTTATATAATACTACCATATGATATTGAAAAAAAGAAAGGGATATATTAATGATAACAGTCCACGCAAGTTCAGTAAGAGTCTAGATAAGTTTAAATCTACTTCAGTGACAACATTTAAAAATTAAATCCTTCCTTCGGTTGAAAAGTATATTTGGATTTTCAAATTTAATAATTCTAATTTTATTTTGGAGGCACAGATTACACACATACATATATTGTTTTGAACAATAAGAAATATTAAAAAAAAAAAAAAAATTAAAATTTTCAGACACACTAGGTTGTATATTAATATTTTTTTGTTTTATTATTTAAATTAGGTTCCTCAACTAGTTTTGGCCAGTATGGCTATCATCAGGGAAAAAAATCCTTGATTGTTAGTATCAGTGAACTACAGGAGTAATATATATATATATATATATATATATATATATATATATATATATATATATATATATATATATATATAAATATATCTTTTTTTATATTTTCCTTTTTTCCTTCCTTATTACATTCTAAATTTTAAATAGATTTCCACCTGTTTTTCATATAATCTTGTCTGCTGGTAGTTGGTATTTGGTTCTACTTATAAAAAAACTTACCATGAAAGAGCTTATAAGCTTTTTCATATTTGTTTTTTAAAATGGTGAATATCATTTGAAACTTAATAAGTATTCATTCTAATTTTTAATTTGTGAAATTAAATCTTTTGAAAAATATTGACTAATCTGAATATTGTCAAGTATTTATGTAGTTGTTTCTGTTTAATTTTGTATTTTCTTTGCCTTTTGTTAATGGTTTATTCATTTCACAGGAGGTTCATCCCAATTCCCCAGCTGACCTGGCCAGCCTCAGGTCTAATACAGATTATATCATTGGAGCTGACTCTGTTTTACATGAGGTAACAAGTTTGTTATGAAAATTTTTTTTAAATAGAGGAAGAAATTGAAAGATTCTACTGTCAATCTAAGTTTTTATTTTTAAATAAGGGTTAGTCCACTTTAGTATGCTCAAATGTATTTAAGAACAAACTTATACGGGTTACGTCAGAAATACCTCCCACGTAATGGTAAGACATTAGCTCGATGAAGACACCATTGCCACTAATGTCTTACCATTATGTAGAAGGTAATTCTGCTGCAGCCTGTATAAATCATTTTAAACATTTTAAAACATTCTGCTGTTTTCTTTATACTTACTCCCCCCCCCTTTTTTTTTACTTGAAAATTTTACATTGGTCAAGTGAACCTTTTGGCTTTACCTTTTTTTTTACTTTTGTCTTCAACAGTCTGAAGATTTGTTCTCTTTGATTGAATCCCATGAAGGCAAACCTTTGAAGCTATATGTCTACAATACAGAAACTGACAGCTGCCGAGAAGTAACTATCACTCCAAATAATGAGTGGGGAGGAGAAGGAAGGTACTTTTCTCTTTCTCTCTCTTTCTTATATATATATATATATATGTATAATACACTGTTACATTAGAACATGTAAGTTACTACTACAAAACTGTATATTTTGTTTTGATGATTAATAAATGTCTCATCAAGTAGTTAACAATGATGGTAATAAACGATTTTATTTAAAATTACATTTTATGAAACATCACTTCATTTTCCATTTTGGGAAAATTTTCCGTAAAAGGTAAAAAAGATTTTTTATAAAGGAAAAAAGGAAAGAAAATAAGAAATCAATAAAAGGAAGAGGAAAGAAAAGAAAGGCAAAAGAAAGAGAAGAGTATATTCAAAATTACACAGATACAAAGGAAGAAGAAACTTGAGAAAATAACATATGAGAAGTTGTTGATATGAGTTAAGCCAAGAAAAAAGAGAATTAAATTTGAACGGAAATGAAATGCCACAAGATAGTAACACTTTAGCTACAATGTTGCATCTCAAATTTTATGGCATTTTTAATGAAATCACATTCAAACAAAATTATCCATAGAATGTAAATAAAGGACACTTTAAGAAGCAATATAATACTTAACAAAACTGATTATAAATTAGAATACAAAATAAATTTTAAACTTTTATATAATTTTTATGTTAATTTTAAATTAAAATCTATTATCAATACAGCAAGAGAAAAAATAATAAGCCAATTCATGGCTAAGCATACTACCAGTAATTTACGAATACTAACCAATATAATACCTAAAGATAGAATAAATCACTAAGGATAACATTAAGATGTTTATATAAAAATAATATAACATAAGAGGAGTGATTATTGAGTTATGAAGTTTAGCAAAATTGTAAGGTTAATTCTTTAATATGTTTGCAATTTACCATAGTTTCATATCTTTCAAGAACTTTATATAGATAAAACAGAAAATGTCTGTGTGTGTATATGGCATTTATGCACATCCACATTTCTCAACTGATTTTGATGAAATTTACACACATGTTGCAAATTTACCAAGTTGGTCCAGACCAACTTTTTAATATCCATGCCTCCTGAGTTTGGCAGAAAAATTGATAAAACTGAAGGTGGGTACAACTTTTTGCAAAAACCAAGGCAAAGTTACATGTGAACATAATTTTTACTGGAGGAGCTGATGTTCTTTGCACTTATTGCAAAACATAGCTCATATTATGAGGTTTATGTAGAGTGCTTGATGTTTTCTTATGACATTGGCTTCTTAAAAAATTGAAAAAAACTGAAAAATAGGTTTTTCATATTACTTAAAATAAAAACTTGAATAACTTCCTCACTTTTTATCTGATTTTCTTCAAACATATCACAAAAAATTTGCCATCATGCATGAAATAAGATAGTGTGGTTTTAGTTGTGTTCGCTTCCCTGCATATAATGAAAAATTACGAAAAACTGTTTAAAAAGCTGTTTTTCTGCCATAATTCCCTGGTTTTTCATCCAATGCTTTCCAAATTTGCCATGTAAAGTACATATAGCACAAATTGTCTGACATGAATGTTTGGTTTAGATTATTTCAGTTAAGTGGATGAAATCTGCCACAAACTAGGTCCAAAATTGGCTTTTGCCATTTAGCCAATAGTTTCTTCATATGATTCCATCCTAAATTGGCATTTGAACAACCTTTGATGCAAAGATTGTTTGAGAAGGATTATTGAAATGTTAAAAGGAATAAATTCCCAAAGAACCTCTTATTAAACATGCGAAGAAGAGTGGGGGGGGCATTCATGCATTTGTATTTGCAGTTGAATCAAACTCTGATGCTTCATCCCTGTTTTTGTTTGATTATTAGATTTGTGAATAATATCATACTATTTGAAAGTTATTACAGCCATAGGGAATTTGCTGAATATCTAAAACATTGAAACAATTTAACCCAAGCAATGACCACACAGGAAGGTTTTATTGATGTAATTCCTTTATTAAGAACAATCAAACACTTGTGAAGAACATACTGTAAAAAAGATGAGGTGGGGGAGTAGCTTAGTATACTAAAGGATGATGCATGCAAGGTACCTTGACTAGTGTATGTATTTATATATAAAATGTGTTGTTTTCAAATTATCTTCCTCTTAACATGGGTGGTAGGTTTAGAATTTTTGACATCATTAAAAAAAATAGGATTAACCATACTAATAAAACTGTACAAGTGACTTTTGTTTAAATATAATTAACTTTGTTCTATCAAATAGAGCAAAATTCTAACTAAAGACTAAATTTATTTTAAAATATTTTAATGTTTACAGGAAACATATCAACCAGATTATTCATTCTTGTGTTATATTATAAATAATTTTGAAAATATTTCAGTATTATACTATTTTGCTTCTTCCATGTATTTGCTTTGATTTTATATTCTTTTAACAGAAGTCATACAACTTTGAACTTGAGTTTTCTAATTCAACATCATTTTCCAACTTTTTATTTTTCATCATTTGATTGAGGAAAGGAAAAAAAACTATTCTATTTTTTTTCTTTTCATATGTATTTTATATGCGGACAGATAGTGCTTGTTGTACTGTTGGTTTGAGATTTCCAAAGAAGCAATCACAGTAACACTAATTCAGATGTTGTTGCTTTATTTTTCTAGAGTTGAAAAAGATTTTGTGACATTTTAAGATAGACTTTAAACTATATCCCTATGTGAAATGAAAACAGTTTCGCCAGAAAAGGTGCAAACAAACATCTGATGATAGCTCGTTTATAACTAATGTGAAGTTTTTATTCTTTTAAGATTATCTAAACATGAATTATATATGAAGTGGTGTTAAAATATTTTGGCTTGAGGCATTTCTAAAAAATATAACCAAAGGAAAAAAAATCTGATGCATTCTCATTATAGGACTATGTGGCTAAGACTAGAAAACCAAAAAGACAGTGGTGTGTGTGTACCAAAGGGAAAAAATATGAAAGGGTTAAGCTCAAAGGACATACAACAACCACAGAATTATGCAAACTGAAAGTTTTACATGTCTGTACATTGAAAATGTCACACAACTCAAAGAAGAAGATGAAAAGTCTGTTTTAAATGGTCTTTTGAGAAAAAAATGTTTATAGGAAAAAGAAGAATCACTTATTTTTCATTTTTAATTTTTATTTAACTGCTGAAAACATAAGAACTATTCTTAAAAGTTTTTATCCACACTTGTATAATCTATCAACTTCAGTTGCTTAGAGGAAATAAGACATCATTTTGCCTGACTAATACTATTAGGTATTCCTAAACTAAAATTTTATTTTCAATATTTTAAAAATCTTAAATAAAATCTTATTTGTTTATTTAAAAACCTTTAATACTTGACAAACCATAAAAAATGGTACCAAATTTATCTTGGTAGCTCAATTAGCAATTGTTATGAACATTCAAAGTTCATAATTTAGAATTTTTTTGTCTCATGTTATTGGACAAAAAAACAAATTTTACACTGTATAACTGAAGATGCAGGCTTCAAACAAGTTAAAAATTATATGTAGTCTTGGAGTAAAAGAAAGATAATGCTAATGGAATCAATAATTCTTAGATCAAACCAGCCTAAATTTTGGAAAGAATTTGTTCTCAAGAACAAAATCGTAAAAATATGACACAGAAGGGCAAATTTGACTATTTCACTTCAATAGTTACTGTCTTGCAAATTCTGATACTGTATAGCACAACGGAGATTTTCAGTAGTACTTCCATAAAAAAAAAAAACTGTATCTACATAAAACAGCCAAAAGTGCAATTTGACAATAGGGCAAAACCAAGAGAAAAGTGTACCATACTGAACTTACAATAAAAAAGTATCAAGGTACATACCTGAAACTTTGAAACCTTACAAAATTTGGCATGAGGAATTCAACAAAACATTCTTTTCATTGTAATATGAATTCCTTTTGTCATAAATGTACCTTATTTTGCAAAATTTTGTGAAATTATGTAATTTTCAAATTATCAAAAACAGGACAATAATGACTACAAAACTTAGAAATTATTTTTACAAAAGGAAAACCAGTCTTAGAACATATGTTACTGATATAAGGCTTCTGTAGGAAGTATTGAAATATATTTTATTGGTGTGATCATTAAAACTCAAGAAGTATAAACATCTAAGTTGTTAAAGTCTATTTGCTTTTACTTAGCACCCATTGCAAGTACTTTATTTTTCCAACATTACTCACATATTCTCTTCTTTCTCCTTGGCTTTTGAGGAGCTTAATTCAATCTTATTAAAGTAGACAGATATTTCCAGCAAGAATATGTGCTTTTGGCATATGTATGGTTTCTAAAGATGAAATGATAAATTTGTTTCCTGTGTTTTGCTTATTTCTAAATTTTGTATTCTTTTTGCAGTCTTGGATGTGGCATTGGTTTTGGTTATTTGCACAGAATACCAAAACGTCAATTCCCTACAGAGAAGAATGAAACATCTATAATCCCAGCAGCAGCTGCAGCAATTACAACTACTACTACTAAAAATGCAGATGGTTTTTCAGAAGTAAGTTCTAGAGTGGGAGGATGGGTGCTCAAGGTCACAATTAAGAATATAAGAAATTTGCTTGGTCTCTAAGGATTTATAAAAGACAACCAAAGAATGATTATGTATATAAAGTACTTGTACATATTTAATACTTGTGTAGTGCTTTGCTACTTGTTTTCAGTATGAAAACCTTTAAAATTTAGTTTGGTACCAGGTAAACATTAAACAGTGGACATCAACAATTGATGTTTCATTTGAGATCAACAGATATCATCAATCAATGGCTTAAAATTTTCAAATGATATGAATATAATTCATTCATGATTTGAGACTAAATGGCAACTCTAGGTTTCATGAAGTTAACTATTTGCCCCCAGATTGGCATCCACACATGTACCAGAGCATTAACTTCATCTATAGGTAGCATCTGTCAGACTTGAGAGACCTTGGATTTGTGCCCAAAGAGTTATGCCTCAGCTGCTGATGGTAGTGTAGCATCTGTTATGGCAGTATAGGTCCACATGGGAGTGGCGGTCTTAATTGCAATGAATGCATGTGAAGTCGCTATCCCCTGATGTCACCTTGTTTTCTTTCCATTGAGCACATTTCTCTCCAATAGTAAGTCTTCATTTCTCCTCTCCTCAGCTCTCTAGAATGTGTGATTGTTCATACTTCTCAATGTCCATGTCCTTCATGTCCATTTTGCAGATGTCCTTGAAGAAGATGAGGTTGCCCTTGTCCTGGTGGCCAGTTCCCTGTACAGAAGGAACTTTGGAATTCTCCCATCTGACATATGGTGTATATGTCTATGTTAACAGAGCTGGTGCTGTTGGAGAAGGGTGTATAAGCTGGGTACCTAGTCATTGGTGACCCAGTCAGACCAATTGATGCATCTTGGTGAAAATGAAAGGCACTGAGGCATTTCTCCTGTCTGGAGTAGAGGCTCCAAATCTTGCAATGATGACACGTCCTATGGACTGCAGTTTTGGTGTTCATAGCAAGCTTTCCATTCTAGACTCTTGGGGTCAGCCTAGCAAACATGGTGGCAGCTTGTCCGATCTGTCTGTTGACCTCAGTGTCTAGGGAGAGGGTGTCTGAAGTGGTGGAGCTGAGGTATTGCAGTTGTTCATTTTGATGCCTTGTCCCATCATCTTGGTTTTTTGACTGATGGTCAAACTGAACTGGCAGGCTTTCAAAAAATTGTCCATTAGTCACTGCAGTTGCTCTTCAGAGTGCACTACTAGCACAACATCATCTGTGAACAGCATGTCTCTAATGACCACCTCATGGACTTTGAATTTTGCTTTCAGCTGAGACAAACTGAACAGCCTTCCATCTGTTCTTGTGTGCAGGTAGATGCCATCAATTTCATTTGAAGCCTTGAATGTATGTTTCAGCATGACTGAAGATGTCGAATAAGGTAGGCGCAAACACAAAACTCTGCTTCACACTGCTGTGTATATTGAAAGCCTCTAAAGAATCACCAAATTGTATGACCCCCTTCATATCAGCATGAACAGATTTTAATTTCATCAAATTTTTTCAAATATAAGCCACCATTGTCAGTGGCAGATACATTTTGCTAATGGATAATTAAGACAGTAATGAAGAGGAAGATTATTCTGACATTTCTTTATCTTCATTTGAGTCAGATGATAATACTGCAGATATTACAGAAGAAAGTGATTATTTCCATTTATACATTGATTTGACAACACAAATTCGGTAATCAAATTATTTTATTCTCACACAGAATTTTAAATAAAGTGATTTCTTTATAGCACTTTTTCATGAGATTGCAAATTTTATTGTGCAAGAAAAATTATGATTTTAGACGTTTTTCTCTCATTCAAAGTGGTCAAAATATTACTTCACATAGCAAAAGTTGGATAAATACAGATTTAGATGATAAAGATAACTTTTCTTTTTTGTGTGTGGTATAAGCAAAGGCATGTTTTAGCAAATAATAAGAAAATGATCCTTTGATAGGTACTCTCATTTTTCCAAAGTACTTGTCATGCTGTTTATCGAAATATTCTTAGGTATTTTCAAAATGAAAATAATGATGAACCAGATTTGAGTGATAGGTAATGGAAAATACATCCCCTTTTTAAAATGATAATGAAAAATGTTACCTTTTCAAAATGAATAAAGTTTGTAAATTTTTCCTACCATTTCAAAAGTTAGGGATTGATGAATCACTTACTTTTTTCAAAGGTTGAATTGTGTTCAAGCAAGAACCATTCCTATAGGATCAAGATTTATTCAGCAATTGATATCAATATCCCTCAATTCTCTTTTATGTTTTTCTGTCTCAGTAGTTGGTTCGTTGATGACTTATAAAGGGCACATATTGTGCATGGATAACTTGTACTAGTCTTGATCTATTTGACAAGAGGATTGGGCTATATGGAATTGGTGAATAAATAGAAAGAACATGTCTAAATTTGGGGGGAAAAAACAAAACAATTTACTGGCACTTCAATGGTTAGATAAGTGCCTAGAAGTTCACCAATGATGATAAAGGTACAATGGAAGATTCAGGGAAGAATGGTTTCAAAACTAAGCAACATGTTTACAAAACTGATGCAGTCAGTAATTACACCATAAATTTGAATCTTATTGATAAATGCAACAAGCAAATTGAATGCATTAATTACTGTGTATAAAATGGTATAAGATGCTGTTTTATCATCTGCTTGTTATATTACTTTTGAATAGCTACAATCTTATAAAATCTGGTTGTAAGCCATCTTTTAGGAAGTTTAGCTACAATGTAATCTACTATTTGCTAGAGAAACATGGAAAACCAACTTGGTCATTCAACAGAAGAGTAGCAATGGGTGAATTAGATCAACTTTGTGCCCAGGCATTTCTCATCAATTCCTGGAGTAAATAAAAGTTGGAAATAGCAATAACTCTGCTATGTCTGCATGCATATTATGAAATTTGATTTGTATAATATTACCATATATCAATACTAGTATTAAAAAAAAACAAAAACAAAACAAACTTTTTTACCTCATCACATGCAAAATATTAGAAATCTATTAATGGTTTGAATTTACAAAATCATTAAAATCTTTCTGTATTATGAGAAAGCCGTTACTAATGGAAAATTTAACTTATTTTAAAAATGAACAAAGTAATTTATATTTGTTCATTTTTTAAGTTAACAATATGAAGACAATTTTTAAATTTATACTTAATGATCAAACCTCAGGAATCATTTCCTTTTTGTGCTATTCTGTTATAGTGGAACACATCTGTTCTATAGTTAATAGACTCTCCACCTATAATAAGTAGGAGTAGTAAGAGTAATGAGAAAAGTCGCCGAGTCGCTCAGTGAGTTGGTCAGTCAGTTGATACCAGACGACTGTTAGTCGGATATTAAATATAATATATATCAGCCACCACAACTAGATTACTGCGTCATTACCTATTATATCAAGTTCCTAATGTTTTGTACGTCGAACCTATTTTAGGACTGACTTTGTACAAATACACTGTGAAACCACTCTACAACATATTCACAGAAGTTTTTTGAACAAGCATATAAAGACAAACTTACACTTTTAACAATGTATTGAAAACATTTTCTCATAATATCTGGGTTTTTATAACCTAAACCAATTCTTTTGAAGATGTGAAAGGATATATCTGCTGGCAATAAAATATTTTCTAAGGTTTTTTTTTTTTTTTTTAATTGCAGATATTACAGAAACATTTCAGATTTTTAGTACAAAAAAAAAAAAAACTATCCAAGAATACTTCTTAAAAACAAAAAATGGACTTAATTTTGTGAATTGATTTGAACATTTCTGTAGGCATTGAAAGCAATGATGATAAAATGTCTTGCAGAGGCATTGCCCATAAAATTATTTCTTGGATAATGGTGTAGAGATCCTTGAAGGAAACGTATGAATTGAAATATCAGCAATATCTTTCTAACCTATCAAAATTTTTTTTAAGTAGTTCATGAGTAAACAGAATGTGTTAGTTATATTTGTAAAATTGGTAAAATAGACATTATTCACAATGCAGTGTGGTGTAATGTTTATCAAGCTTGTCTCACTAAACCAATTATGACTGAATAGAGAATTTGATCCTCAGTAGGTGCGCTATACTTTCAACCTTGTGCCACATCTAAGCTACACTTAGAAAAATCACTGTTATCACAATTATGTAATATCTTGTAATTGTTACATTATGATAATCCATGAATACATTTGCTAATAATTTATGCATCTGTATGTGAAAGGCATTAATTAGTATATTATTAGTATTTGAAACATGATAGAAAAAAACATAAGGTTTAAGAATCTCACATTATAAGAAACCATAAATTTGTTCTGGAAAGTAATATAATTCCAATCCAAAATCTTTTCATTTGTAATTTTTCAATCATTAGGTAAGTCACAATTCAATTGTGCATGTTTCATTCAAGATAACCACACAATTTTTATTCTTACATTTTAAAGCAGATCATTTGGACCCCCCGCTTTTTTTAATTACCATTTGTTACATATTGAGTGTATTTCTTTCAATTTTTCCTGATGTTTTGAGGAGACTTTTTGTTTTAATTTCCAGGTTTCTTTGACTTCAACAACTCCAAGTTTGACTGAAGGAATTGCAAACATGTCATTAAATACAGGTAAGACTTTGTGTTTTATGTATTTTGGTTGAACAAAGGCTAGTTCAACAAAAAAATGCATAATTATATTTACACAGTTATTAGAAAGTCAATTTTGAATTGGTGAAGTAGTTGATGTGAAAGTAAAATGTAAAAAGACTACTGAAAATATTGAAAGTGAAAATTGTCTTTTTTAAAACTGATTTTTAGAAATTTTCTTACTGTTGGTTATCAGATTATTGTTACTTCTATAGTTTCAGTTCAAGTGAAAGAAATATAAGTATCATCCTATATACAGAGCAACCTCGGTTCTTGGCCATAATTTGTTCTAAAAGTCTCTTCTAAAACCAAATTATTTGAGAACCGATTCATTTCCCCCCCATTACAATTAAAATAAAAGAGATTAATTTATTTCCACACACCAGATAAATGCTTATTCACTTGCTTACACTCTATATTCAGTTAAATCTTTCTCTGGGGTTTCTTTTCTTTTTTCTTTCAGTAAAAACCTGTCCAATGTTAGTTGTTTTTGTCTGTGTTGTAATTTTTTCTAAAATTAGTCATTGAAAATGTTGACTGCTATCAGGGTGACATTTTTCCACAAAACTTTGCACATCACCCCATTTAACACAAATTTCAATGATTAAAAAATTTGGAACTTCCTCCTCAGAAGACTTTTCCTCAGCCAAAGTCTTGCTGTTCATTTTGAAGGTGTACAAGCTCTTTGGTGATAAGCTCAGTACAGTGGTCTTCCCCCAGCTCTTCAATATCTTCACTGTCGACATCGAAGCCTATATTTTTTCTCATAGAGACAATATCAACAATAGCAATTTTCTTGACTAGCAGTACTTGTAGCTGGTACCTCAGTCTGGCCAAAGTTTCCTCCATGCTGAATTCATGGTTCTGTAACTCATTTGGTTCCATGCATTATAAATAAGATAAACACAATTCAGGATATTGAAATAATTTTTCCAAAATTCTGAGAGTTAACTGCCATTAGTGACTTGAAAACGCTTTTGAAACAGCTTTGTGTAAAGTTTCTTACATTAGTGACCTTTTGGTTCATTGGTTGTATTAGAGGAGTTGTGTTAGGTGGCAGGTATTTGACCTGAATAAAATCAAAGTCTTCAAATCTGGAGGGTGAGTGAAAGCATTGTCTAACACGAGAAGGCATTTTAGTGGCAAGTTTTTTTTCTTGCAGATATTTTTTAACATGCATGGTAAAAACTTCATGAATCCACTTAATAAAAAATTGTCTGGTAACCCAAGACTTCGTATTAGCCTGCCCCATAACAGGCGATTTACTCTTCATGACATTGTGTTTATTTATTTATTTATTTTATTTTTTTTTTGAAAACCCTTGGATTTTCGGAATGGTAATCAAGCACTGGCTTGACTTTGAAATCGCCACTTGCGTTGCCATATAGCAAAAGAGTGAGTCTGAGTCTATCTTTCATTGACTTGTGCCCTGGCAACACTTTTTCTTTGGCATTCTTTTAAAAAATAATCCTGTTTTATCCCCATTAAACACCTGTTGGGGGAGATAACCTCCTTCCCTTTATCAAGTCACTAAACTCAATCCAAATTTCTCAACTGCTTTGTTTAAACTCACCACCTCTCCATGCCTAATTACACTGTGTATTTCACTTCTCCTCTTAAATTAAACCAGCCTCTACTAGCTTTGAATTCAAAAATATCACTTTCAGCACTTGTACCAGGGGTTTTCTTTACTAGATCAATATAAATTTCTAATGCTTTCCCACAAATGCTTCACTGATATTGTCACCTGCTAAGTGTTTCTCATTTATAAAAATAAGCAATAACTTTTCCACTTCTTTGAGTATCTTTGATCTTTGTTTACTAATATCAGTCACACCTTTGGCAACATCAGCTGCTTTTATCATTTCCTTGTTTTTTAGAATAGTAGATATTGTCAATTTAGGCATACCATACTGCACAGTGTGATCTGACACAAATATCACTTTTGTTTTGTGATGAGTTCATACTTATGTTTTTCTCTCAACTTGTCTTTTTCCTTTACCAGTATCTACGATAAAATTGGGGGGGGGGAGCAGTACAACACATGAATGTATACAACACAGCGGTCAACTCAGAAATGATTCTGTTCAGGTTAACTCAGTTTGGCAATGTTTGATAACTGAGGCATTTTCATCTCAAATTTTCTGTTCGACATTCAAGGTTGCTCTGTATTTGCCAATACAGTAGTTTTAATTAGTTTTCTTGTATTGCAAACATATCTTCAAAACTATAGATTAACTTTGACTTGTCTAGAGGTGAAATTATATTACAACTGAAAGAATACATACAGTTGAGTGTGTGACTGCTTGCTTATCATATAACATTGGGGGGCAACAATGTTGGAGATGCTTAAAATTAGAAATGCCAGTCTCATGAGGGTTAAAAAAAAATAGATCATGTTTTATTTTGTAAGAAAATGGAAGTGAGAAGAGCCTCCAAATCTTAGCATTTTCTGTCTGTCATTATCACTTTCTAGGTGTGCCTACAATACCTGTTCTAAATAATCCAGCTGATGCAGTGGCTGGAGCTGCCAGTGCACCCAATCAGTTACCTTTAGGAAGTACTTTTACATTGCCTCCTGGATCAACATCCAGTAAGTAGACAACAATTCATATATTAAAATTTATACTTTGTAATTTTCAATTTTCAATAAGCATGCACTTGTATACGCTACCTCTTAGGATTAAACGGAAATCAGTCATGTTGACTGATTTTAAAGTACCAAACTACCTATTGAACTGTTTTAATTATGATGATTTGACTTGTACCTTTTTATGGCATATGCAAATTTCTCAATTATAAGAATGGATTACTTGTGAATACTATTATTTCAGGGTACAGTGAAATAGATAAACCTCTTAAATATTGCCAATTTTTTGAGTGGGGTGGAGGAAGAGCTTTTCATCAACCATCATAGCTGAGGAAATATTTATAAAAATATCAAAGTAGGAAGCTGCCAACAAATTTCATTTATAGAAGTTTTTAAAAAAAATTTATAATGAACTTTATTAACACAATAAGGCAACAAAAATTATTTCATAAAATATTGATTAATCTTTCTGCTTCAAATTTATAGAACCTTTCAGGAAAAAAAGTCAAAGAATTTGTCATTTGGTTGAACTGTTTTGAGATATTTGGGGTTTTTTAAGCAAATAGTTTAAATGAAAATTCTTTGATTTGCTTGTTTTTTATTTATTTTTTTAATTTTTTTTTCAGCTCTTCCTCCTCCAACAGCTTTGCCAAATATTCCAAACTTGTCATCGCTTCCACCTCTCACAACACCAATCTCAATACCTGGGTTTCCAAGTGTATCTATGCCAGCATTTTCCACAGCTATGATAAACCCAGGAGCTGCAGGTGAGGCTTCCTTTTGTAAGCAATTGCTATCTGCCTTTGAAGATACCAAAAAGACTTGTACTTGAATGGGTAACAACATTAAAATTAGGTTCATTTGAGAATATTTGTTGAGTACATTTCTTTAATTTTACAAATTCCTTCAATTTTGTAAAACATTAACTTATGTTATTCTGAAAAAGAGTACATGATGAAGGTTAATTAGGGACCTTAACCGTTTTTTTTTTTTTTTTTTTCTTTTTTTTAAAATTGATGGTTACCTGGAAACATTACCTAAAAATGTTAAATTTCTTTTCAGCATCTATGGCACCTCTCCAACCAACAATGATGCCACCAATATCGCTGCCCCCTAACCTGACAACACTGCCCAGTGGACTGGCAGCTGCATCTCCTGCTGTCCCTATTAACTTGTCATCTGGTTTGAGCTTTCCACCCATCTCACTGCCAGCAGCTGCAACTACCACTGTTCCTTTGATTCCAGCATCAGCCACACTTGCACCTTCTGTTCCAGTCCCCAATGATGTAACTAGTGCAGCAGCTGCTGCAGCAGCAACGACAACACTCATTGCAGAACCTGAGCAGACAAGTGATGCTGCAGTTGTCTCACCTATGACCTCTGTCATTAATGTACCAGAATCAACAGCAAAAAACAACACTGAATCTTCATAACACTATTTTCATAGAACTTGGAACTTCTTTCTTTGCAAAGATTAAAAAACAAAAAGTAGGATAAAGGGAAAACATGGAAATAATTTCCATCAGTGAATCTTCTTGGGCAAGTTTTTCCAGCTGTGTCTTATTTGTTATGTTTGTTAGTTTTTTGGTATGTTTGATTTCTGGTTCTTAAAAGATTAAACACCACATGCCATTTATGCATACAAAAAACAATCTATATAATTTTCAAGAGCAAATGCTTAATTCTTCTTGACACAGAAAGAATAAAGTTGAACAAGAAAATTTCACTGTTTTTAAACTTTTGGTACTGAGTAATGTACTCGAGCTACACAGTGAATTTGGTTTAAGTGGAACACATGAGGGCTACCAATTTAAAAAGACCAGTTTGGTCCTGCCAAGTGGCTATTCCTTGTAACCAAAGTTCCATTGAACTAGAATCCACTGTGTGTGTGTGTGTGTGTATGTATATATCTATACACACACACACACAATTTCATTAAAAAAAAAAAATTATTTGCTGCTAATCTTTTTTTCCATATCTATTCTGTTCATGTTTCAGGCATGGAGAAATAAACAAACACACACCTACAAAAAAAAAAAAGTGCAAGCTTTTTTTTAATTAAATAATTGGGAAATGTTGTTGCTACCAATTAACAAGTTTCCTGATTTGAATGGGAAATTATCATTATTGCAAGACACCGCTCTCTCAATAGGCCTGTCTGGGCATCTCACTCTCCCAATCAATCTTAACTACTCAGAGTTTTGTTTAAAATTTTTCTTTCTTTCTCTCATTTCATTAGACAGCAAACATTCTTGAGCGGTACCTCACAAATGGTGTTGGAATGGGAGGCAACGTCAACTGCTCTTGCATATCTATCTATCTATCTATCTCCCTCCTTTGTGTTGGCTGCCTCATATAGGTAAGTCGCTTTCAAGTGTTAGGTTACAAATTGATTTACATAAGTGCATAGTAACATAGATAGGTTGACCTTAACTATGTGCTGAGGCTAATTAAGGTATAAAGGGTGAATGGGATTTAAAACAACACATTTGAATTGGTTTTGGTTCAAATGGGTCATCTCAATTTTTTTTTTTTTTTTTAAGCAGTGAATGGTGGTGCTTCTTGTTTCACTCAATCCTACTTGTTAAATTTTCATTTTCAAAATTCATTAGATAAAAGAAAGTAATTCTGGTATGCTAGCTTGGCTTTCTATGCCTTTTTTGCATCAACTTAACTGGATATATAGATTCACCCACTTATAATTTACTGTAATTGGTAAAATTACAACCACAAGACTTCACATTCCACTTACTATTAAAATCCACACAATTTATTTCTTAAGTATACATTGCTATGTTTACATTCTAGTATGGATGAAAGAGAAAATGTCCACTGTTCTCACATGTCAAAATCATCTCTCTGAAAAGAAAAGAAATGTTTATTAGGGACAATAGATAAAAATTATTGGGCAGTGGGGATCAATGCATTTAAGTTTGGCAAGTTTAGAAGTAAACAAAGATTAAAAATGAGAATTTTTTTTAATTATGACTTTTCATAAATTAGATCAAGTAAAGAAGTATACATTTTGTTTTTTTGTATAAGTAACATTACATTTTCATTCTTGCCAACAGCCTATATGAATTGAGATCATTTAAAAAGCAAAATTAATTATATAACTCTGAACTATAATGACAAGCCCTACAAAAACAAATTACCTGACTGCAATCGACATGGAAACTTTATGGCACAGGGATGCTCCTCCTTTGTGCTTGCTAAGCCACAAAATTAATTCGGTATTAGTGAAATAAATAAGCAAATGAGAAAAAAAACAAGTTTTTAAAAATTTTTCTTGGCTCTCTCTAAATAATGTTCTTCACTTTTGATTTAAAATAGGAAGCTCGATTAATTCTTTGCTAAATTTCTCAAGTACATACATAACTTCATTATTTTTTTTCATTAAAAACAGAAGTAGTGGAAAATTAACTCACCATATCATTGTATTCCAAGACATGTTTTCTGATAGCTGAAGTATCTGTCCACGTGAGATAATCTTCCATGTTTCTAATAATAAAAATAAATAAGAGAAACTGAAAATAATTTTGAAGGAACATAAAAATGACAGGAAATCATCCAATTAAAATTATTGCCATAGTTAAAAAAAAAAAAAAAGGAATAATGATTAAAATTTAATTTTTAGCTAATAAAAAATACCTCTTATGTTACTTTAGTAACATCCCATGTTTTCATTACCTATCCATAACTGCAACATTATGTTCTGATACAGCATTATTTACTTTTAATAGCAGATTACATCTCAAATTATATTTGTTCTTTTAATGAAAATAAATTATTTAATATTGGTGTACTGAAAGTGGTAGGAGATAAGACTTAAGAGAAGAATACTGTTGATTGCTTATCTCCTACCACTTTCAGTACACCAATATTAACAATTCTATTTTCATTAAAAGAACAAATATAATTTGAGATGTAATCTGCTATTAAAAGTAAATAATGCTGTATCAGAACATAATATAAATGATAATATGCAAAAGTTTCTGCATTCTAGAAAATTTCAAAAGCTTAACTTGAACTGACAAAATCACTAAAGTAATAGTCTTCATGACTAGCAACCATTATTCTACAACATTATTCTGTCTCTTGAATTACAGTTCCTGCCCTTAATAAAAATATCAAGTAATTATAAAATAATGATAATGGTTTGGAACTTGCCTAGTAAGTAAAAAAGCAGGATCTGTGATAATTTCTGGTCCAACTCTTACATCTTTAAATAAAAATGTTAAAGAAAATAACAAGGAATTATGTTAGTAGGTTGTATAGACTTAGTGAACTTGGGTAAAGAAATGTTGTGCATCTATCTTACCAAATTCTTTGTCGTCACAATTTTCTGTTTTCACCTCCATTAAAGATTCTTGTGGTATGAAATCATCTTAAATATAATTATCCCTTCCTTCATAGTTACTTGAATTTTCTATTAAAGATATTTTGGACAGTGAACCATAGAGGGCAAGCTTACTCATCTGACATTTTAATGTTTATCTTGGATTAATATATTTAACCATAAATTTATATAGATAATAAAGACAAAAAGGTGAATCTCATAATTCTTTCTTTTTAGGAGCTATGTCCTTTCAGGACGTAGGCGGTCATGGCTCTCCACCTCCCTCTATCTCTTGCAGATCTCAACAAATTCCTTCACTTTGCTTCCTCCCCCAGACCACATTCTGTCTGCCAGGTATGTCACGTGTTGTTTTCCCTTGTCTCTCTTTCCCTCTATTCAACCCATGAGTATCAGATTCTCCAGGCCCTCCTTCCTCATTATGTGTCCTAGAAACTTTAGCTGACCTTTCCTGATATTAAGTATAAGCCTCCTCCTTATTTGCAACCTCTCTAAGATCTCATCATTGTTCACATGCTTGGTCCATGATATCCTTAGCATCCTTCTGTAGAACCACATTTCTGTCACCTCAAGTCTCTTCATCTTTGAGGAAATCGTCCCACATTCGCTGCCGAAAAGAAGGACAGATGTCATGTGACAGTTCAGTATTCTTTTCTTTGTTGCCAAAGAAATCCTCCCGTCTCACAATACTCTGCCCACCTTTTGGAATGTGTCTTTAGCCATCCCAATACACCTATAGATCTCAGTGTCAAAATGCTTCCCAGATATTTAACTTCCGTGTCTGCTTGATTCTAGTGTTCCAGACCTTCAAATCACATTTTGGGCTCATCCTCTTACTGATGACCATGAATTCTGTCTTTTTGTAGTTTATGCTTAGTCCTTTCTTCTCACTCTCCTTCGCTACCTTCTGTAGGAGATTTTCCATGTCTTCTATCAGTAGTGTCATTTTATGTTGTTAATATTGTGGCCACCAGTGCTAAATCCCAGTTTTGTTTCCAATTCTCTCAGAATTGCCTCGCTGTACAGGTTGAACAGAACGGGTGAGAAGATGCATCTTTACCTTACGCCCCTTTCTATTTATGTATATTCACTGAGCTTGTTCCCTATATGCATGCATACTGCCAGTGTAAGTTCTTGATTATTCTGACATCTTTCCTGAATATATCAAGGTTGCAGAGCAATTCCATCAGATCGTTGTGGCATCCTTCTGCATCTGTATCACTCTTTCTGATAACATAGAGCATGAATATCGCGTTCCTTGTTCCAATATCTTGAATGAACTGCAATGTTCCTATCTTTGGGATGATTCTGCTGCACACTCCATTCATTAGAATATGGATGATGAGTTTTGTCATGTAGCTCATTAGGCTTATTGTTTGATGGAGTTCGCATTCGTTTATGCCTGTTTTCTTAGGCATTACTACAAAGATAGATCTACTGAGGTCTTCCAGTATATCTCCACTGTTGTAGATTTCATTTGTTATTTCAGTGATCTTGTTTATGCCAAAGTCATCTAAGGCTGTCAGCATTTCTGTTACAATTCCATCTGGACTAGCTGCCTTGGCCACTGCGGCTTTTACTTTGGTTTTCAGAATTCTAGGTCTGTCGGCAGTTCTGTGTATTGCTGGTTGTTCCCTTATGTCATGGAAGAGTTCTCCAATATACTCGCTCCAGCATTGAAAATATTTTTCCTTCTCTAATATGAGCGTTCCATCCTTTGATTTGTTGATGAGCATGTCTTTTGTCCTGTTAGTTGTCATATTTGTTTGTGCATATCTCTTTTGTTGGTAGTACTCAATTTTTCTATTTCTGCACATTATTCATTTAGCCATTCTTCTTCAGCTTGCCTGCATTTGGTCCTTATTTCATTGTATAATTTTCTGTATTTCCTTCCATATCTCGGCCGAGTTTTCTGTCTTCTTTCCATGTCGAGAATCTCATCAGTCATCCATTCATTTCTTCTCCTTCATCCTGTCTCAGCAAATGATATCACTAAAGCGTCTCTTAGTGCATCCCATTTTGAGTTTCCATTGTATGCTTTGTATCTTCTATTCACATTGTCTTTGTTAGGATCACTCAGGAGTTTGTTGTATTGCAGTTTGGTTGCTGAATTAGGCTTCTTCAATTTCTTCAGTTTCACTCTTAGTTTACATACAAGTGAACGATGATCACTTCCACAGTCGGCACTTGGGCAGGTTTGTCAGTGAATCATTGCATCCTTGAATCTTTTGTTGATGGTTATATAATCAATTTGGTTTTTAGTTTCTCCTCCTGGACTCCTCCATGTCCATATTCTTGGAACCATGTGTTGGCTATTAGCTGGTCATTGGCTGTGCACCATTGGATCCATTTTTCTCTGTGTTTGTTGCAGTTTCCCATTATGAATATTCCTGCCATATCTCCTGCACTTTCCCTGCCTACTTTGGCATTTAGGTCTCCCATGATAATGATGATTTCCTGTGATTTGCATAGAGCCTTGGCACTGTCCAGCATGGAGTAGAACGATTCTATGTCCTCTTCCCTGCTTTGTGCTGTCAGTGCATACACTAGTATAATAGCCATGTTGAAAGGCTTCCCTTTCAGATTCACTACCAGAATTCTTTTTGGAAAGTTGGTGGTATCCAAGAATGCATTTCATAAGTTCGCTATCTAGTATTAGTCCTACTCCTTTGTCATTCTTCCCACCTCCTGCATAAATTATCCTTTGTTTGTCGCTGACAAAGTCACCATTGTTTAGCCATCTGGTTTCACATACACCTAGATACAAACCCAAATTCAGAAAGAAAAATAAAAGCTGTTTAATAATGAGTGAGTGACAGACAATAATAAGAATGAGGACTGATGGTGATAATAACTGGGAAGTCAGTGAAAGAAACAAAAATATGCAGTCTACAGTATTGTAGAACCATAACAAATGTGCTTTTTTCTGTCAAGAATATAAAAGTGATGTCACTATAATAATAAAATAATTAAATTAGAAAATAGAAAAATATAATTTAATT